GGAATGATTTAATTATCCATGTATTGCTTAGTAAATAATTAAATCATTAATCTTATACTTGTGGTATATTTACATTAATGGGTTCCTTGTGCTATAAGTACTAGTTATAGTCTATGTAGATGCATACTACGATTTCTTGACATTTCAATGCCATTATAGTTGAGGACTTAAGGCATGACTTGTGTGTTCCAAAATTTTGGTTGTGCATAGAACGTGGTTTAATGCATTACTTGTATCTTAATACACTCTTGGTTGCACAACTTGTTGATTTTGGAACTTAGGATATCAATCAAGAATTGACATAGCTAGGACTTGGTTCTACTATGGGAGATAGAGAGTTCCCTACACTATAGTGCGCACTAAGGGAAGGTACCCATGGGTTAGTAGCCTTAAAGTGATCCCAAGAGTACGGTTTTAATGCGAGCGATATCCGAGTATCCACATTGGTTGATTTCACTCTTTAAATTTCAAGTTGCTATTCCTTGAAGATTTAAAACTTGTCGTGTCAATTGGAATGTTCCAATCTTGTTTACTTACATAGATATTATGCATTATCCTTGATATCATGTATTCTTCTTGTAGTGTTAATTAGAATGTTCCAATCATATTAATTGCATTGATAATGTGATCCTTATATTTAAGCATCCTTATTGTCGTTTTGTATAGATTATTCCAAACCTTGCTTAATTGTATTGATAATGTGATTCATATTAATTTATAAACTTGTTGCGTTCTTTGGATTATCCCAACCTTGATTCGTTTCATATATGTATATATATCATGATTCTTGTTGATTTATACTTTATGGTAGCTTATGATGCTCCCTGAGTCTCACTTTGACATAGACGTTAGGTGGCATGAGTCCCTTTAACATGTTTCACCTTAAGGTGATAAATTTGTAAAATGCTAGGTCTATACATGCTCATCTCCTACGAGTAGCTTTATGTTACTCACCCCAAAGTTATCGGGGACATTTTTCAGGTACGAAGACAATGCTCATCATTCCTTGGATGGCTTATAGCTTTTAAGTTTCCATTTCATGCAAATGTTAGCATGAAATGTCATTTTGTAGCATTATATGTCTAAACGTGTATCTTTGATTCCATATATGTAATGTGTACATAAGTATACCTTTTACGATATATTTGACTTATGTGAGATGAGGCCGAAGGCCAATGACATTTATATTGCATCTTATGTAATTCTTGATTCCATAAAATATTATGAAAACCTTAAAAATTCATAAGTCATTACTTCATTACATTTGCATCGGGTGTGGGAATTTCGTTTTTATTCTTTTATAAAGTCTCATTAATCTTGCATGAAGTGTGACCAATGGCCAAATGGTAATTTGACTCTATTTTATATTTTTAGTTTTCAAAATTTCAATTCCAAGTTTATTTTTATCATTTTTGGCCGTCGGGGGATCGGATTTTGAGTCGGGGCTTCTTGGGAGCCGCGGACCATTCTTGCGCGCTTAGAATCATTTATTACACTTGCGTGTGCATTCGTTTCAACCTAGAAATGCATTTAGGGTCAAATGCATACTTGATGCAAAGTTGTATTTTTTAAGTTTTTAAGCCTTTTCTGATCTAAGGGCATTTTGGCTATTTCACAGTGTGTTTTTTTCATTTTCTCCTAAGTAGCTGGGTAGAAAATTTGATTTCGGGAGGGGTTTCTTCTTCGTATTTTTCCAGAAAAATTCATTTGATAGCCCGTTTTGCTCTCAAATGTAGACAGATCCTGTAGCAGTTTTTTGTCCTCTTAACCTTTTCTGATTTAGGGCATTTTGGAGATTTTGCAGAGAGTTTTTTTCTTTTTCTTTTACGTGGTCGGGTAGAAAACTCAATTTTAGGGGGGGTTTCTTCTTCGTATTTTTCCAGAAAAATTCATTTTGAATCTCGTTTCGGCTCTCAGTTCTGGCAGAATTTATTTTTTTCCCCATAGCATGTCAGGATGCTCGTGGGGTGCTCGTGGTGCCTCGTCTCGACGTCCTAATGTCGATTTTTGTTTTCGCTCGTTCTCTTTCGTCTAGACTCCAAATCGAGTGAACTTTTTTTTGAACTTGACTAATTTTTCACTGTCTTTCTAATGGTGTGCTCGGTTGTACCCAAATCTTCCTGGGTGATTACTAGTTTACCATTTTAGCCTTAAGTGCTTGTTTTTCTTCGTCTTGTCATTTCTTCTTCATTCGGATTCCAAATCATACGGTTCTTGAGTCCATCTTGATTAGTTTGTCGTTCTATTTCCAGCGGTGTGCTCGGTGGCACCCGAATCTATATTTTAAAAATAACTATTTTACCCTTTGGGCTATTTTTGTCCGATTTTTCTTACTTTTCGCTTCCGCTACTTTCTTTTGAGTTCCGTGACTTCATGGGAAGTCACGGATGTGTCTCGGGAGTGATATACATTCTAGGGACGTCATTTTCATGTAAAATGACTATTTTGCCCTTGGGGGCTTAATTGTTATTTTTTTGATCTTTTGCTTCCGCATTTGGATCCGCTATCGGGTCAATCTTCGGTTCATCACAGGATGCACTGGCTTGAAAAATCAGGGCCGTCACATTGAATACCTGAAGAAGTTAGATGAGTTATTGGGCTGTCCTTTTTCTACTGATGAAGAGAGGGATGGAGTGATAGAACAAGTATCAAGATTGTGTAGTTTTGAAAATCTTAAATATTTGGAAGTTAATAACACTGGAAAATGAAAGTCAGGGTCCCCAAACAGTGCATTTTTCAGAAAAGGTAAGGTGGGAGATTGGGCTAATTATCTAACTCCTTCAATGGCACAACGTTTGAATAACCTTGTGGAAGGGAAGTTGGCTAGTTCTGGCTTAAGTTTCAAGGCTTCATGTTTGATCAGCCTGAAAATTTTTATGTGTGCTTAGTTTTTTTTTTTTTTTCTTTTTATGATTGAAAAAAAGTGTGTTTTTGTTTTTGATGACCAGTAATAAGTGTGTTAAACACGAGGATCCGAGTGTTAGTACTCATCACTTGTATTTCTTCTATTTTATTTAATTATGGTCTTGCATTTCCATGTTAATTAATCTTATTTTATTTAATAATGGTCTTTCATTTCCATGTTAATTAATCTGGTCTGGCAATGAGTTCTCAACTGTATTTATCTAAATTGCATGGTTATTAAAGGTGTATTAGGGAATTTTCATATATTTTATAAGATACTAACAACAATACAAAAAGTTTCATTCACACAATGAGTCGAAACAATGAATAATACATCAATCAATAAATAATACACCAATATAAATTCATAACTTTCCACAAACTGAATAATACATCAATTAAAATGAACATGAGATAACAATACAATTGAAACTACAACATGAATATTGAAGCAAAACAAGCCATATTTATACAATATAGAAAAATAACACAACAATAGAAATTAAGATAAGGAAAACAATGATAATAAAATAGTAGAAAAGAACTACCCTGCATAAGAAGAGGCATGTTAGGCACTGTGCTAAAACATATGGCCATACTATGTGCAGATATTAACGATCCAATACGATTCCAAGATGCAATCCATATTAGTTAGTGGTCTTCCATGGAATTAAAAGACAATTTTGTGTTGGCATTGTGTCAAATTAATTAAGTTACCCCGAACTCACTATGTAAAATACTATAATAGTATCTCAATAATAAACTCGAAGCCTTACATCCACATCAGTCAAAGACTATAGGCAAAAGAGCAAAAAAAAACCCTCAAACTATCCCATTGTTGCATAATGTCCCCCTGAACTATTTTTGGGAGCAAGTTGCCCACTTAAACTATCAAAAGTAAGCAAAATGCTCCTTTAAAAGCCACCGGAAGCTAGTTTCCGACCAACTGAAGAGCATAATTACTAATTTACCCTTCCTTTTTAATTTATTATAAAAAAAAATTAAAATATATGCTATTATGAAATGACCACTTTGTCCATATCTTCTTTCTCCTTTCATTTTTTTTTCCACACTTTGTCCATGTCAGCCGTGATGGGGCGGTTCGCAATGTGATGGCAGCGACAAGCTTGGCGGTGTGCTCGGTAGGTGGAGACGGTGGGGCTAATCGATGCCTCAATTGCCAACGAACTGTTCTTGAATGGCCAAATACGGCGCGCCAAGACAACAATGGCAACCAACAGCAATGCCATTCCTCTCCCCTTGATAATGATAATGGCTTCCCCCAAATCAGCCTCTCCTCTCCCTGGCTCCTTCCTAAAATGTATACATATATATTGTTTATATATATTCCTATTAAGTATATTGTAGTATGTTGGCAAAACCGATGTCCAACAACAATCACTATTTGCTTCCCCAAATCAAGTCTCGATCTCCTCTTTGGTGTTTGCAATTAGTTTTGATAGGGAAAAGAGAGACAACATGGACGATCAACTTTTTGGTCAAAACTACTTCGAAGGTAAATCAGACTTTTATTTTTCTGGTTAAGTCAGTCACCGGAGTGAACTGATATGTAACAAATTTATAGTTCAAAGGAGTTGGTTCAAGGAGGTTAGTTGCAATTTGTCAATAGTTCATAGAGTTTTTTTTGCATTTAACCCTAATATCTAACTTAAAATTGAATTTTTTTTTTTTCCAAAGACCAGTGATACAAATGAAGTTCACGTGCTTGATATGTGTGCCCTCTGCGTATATATATAATATACATAAAGTGACTGTCTCCACCAGGTTTTTTCAGTAAGCAGTGGTAAAAAAAAAATTCGTTTGTACTTTGTACGGTAGCACAGTTGCACACACAGACATACCCCACTTGCACAGGCAGCATGTGAAATTCATTTGAATTGTAGGGGTATCATGAAATTTTTTTTCTCCACCAATAATTCAATTAGACCAATAATTCAATATTGGATACTGTGAAAAAACTAAAAAGAAAAATATTGGAAAGAAAATGTGTAATAAACAAGTCACCATAAATACATCTGCATGGTTATCATAAACACACACTACACTACACACACTACCATTTCCATTTGATAGCGATGGAGCAAAAAGATGTGCCCAGAAGCTGCCTTTCAATGGAAGGTGATGGGGAAGATGAGTTGCTCCAAACACTCCCGAGAGAGAGAAACTGGGGTGGCACTTCTGATCTCTGCCAATTCCAAGGCTTTTGGTGTCCATTATGGGTATTTCATGGCCTCATCTCCTTCCAAAAACACTTCCAAGCACACGCCACCGATCTAATCTTAGCCAGTGCCCCCAAAACAGGCACTACTTGGTCTAAGGCTCTCGTGTTCGCCATCGTGAACCGCACTCGTTATGGTTTCAATGACAACCCTTTGCTCACTGCCAATCCTCATGACCTCGTACCCTTCTTGGAGATGGATCTCTACTTGAACAGAAACAACCTCCCAAACCTCGAGGATCGAAGTGACCCGAGACTTCTCTCAACCCACGTCCCATTTGCATCACTACCAGTTTCTATCATAGACTCAGGTTGTCGCATTGTGTACGTGTGTCGAAACCCTTTCGATCAGCTCATCTCCCATTGGCATTTCACACTCAAACGTTCCAAAGAAAATGCGGATCATCCACCACTTCCTTTAGAAGAATGTTTCGAAAGGTACTGCAAGGGAGTTATCAGTTTCGGACCCTTTTGGGACCATGTTTTAGGGTATTGGAAAGCGAGTTTGGAGAAGCCAAACAAGGTGCTGTTCTTGAAATATGAGGACTTAAAAGAGGATGCCAAGTTTGGTCACCTTAAGAAGCTGGCGGAGTTCTTGGGCTTCCCTTTTTCGGGCGATGAAGAGAGAGATGGGGTGATAGAACAAGTATCCAATTTGTGTAGTTTTGAAAATCTTAAATCTTTGGAGGTTAATAACATCGGAAAACGCAAGTGTGGGCGTCAAAACACTGACTTTTTCAGGGAAGGCAAGGTGGGAGATTGGGCTAATTATCTAACTCCTTCAATGGCACAACGTTTGAACAACCTTGTGGAAGAGAAGTTGGCTGGTTCTGGCTTAACTTTCAGGCTTCTTCATTAACCTGAAAATTTGTCTGTCCCATAATAGTCATATTTCTAAGCTTGAACATCTCGTTCTAGCTTGATTGGAAATAATTGTGTGTGTTTTCAGTCTCATTAAGAACCTCTCGTTCTTGCTGAGTCTTGATCATGTGGCTTTGTGGTCAAGTCTCTATAGCTGTTTTCTTTTTCTTTTTATGTTTGGATCGAAATAAATGTGTGTGTTCACTTCACCATCGATCGTGAGCCAGGTATGTATAATGTACTATTGCTGGATCAGCTCTTGTATTTTCTCCATTTTAATTATATGATTATCGTCTTCCTTTTTTGTATTGTTAAGTAAGTTGGGCACTTGTGTTGTACGTTTTCTTGTTTTTATGATGAGCAGTAAGAGTGTGCATTTGTGTGTTCACATGTTGAACAGTGAGCAGAGTACTGTTACTCATTTCTTGTATTTCCTCCATTTTATATAAATGAATATAAATTTCTTTCGTTTTCTAAGTTGTTAATTAATGTGGGCAGTGAGTTGTCAACTATATTATCTAAATTGCAAACCAAAGAAGCAAACTTACTAATCGATACCAATTAAATTTATAAATATATATTCATGTGAATCTTAAGTGATGTCTGGTTTTATTAATATTTACTTGTTACTTTACCACGATGTTGAATCCGCTTAGATTTGTCAGTTTGAAAAGCAATTTCCTTGCGCGATTCGAATGCTGCTGATGGCAATTTTTATTGCTTTAAGCAATTAAATACACGGTACTGGGTAGCTTGATGCTTAAAACAGGTGTAAAATATGATTTGTTGAAGCTTACCAGAACCGTTTGGATCACCCAAAAGGCCAAACGGGTGGGTTGATAGGTTTTTTTGTGGCAGTTTTGATGAACACGTCTTGACCCGACAATATGTAAACTATAATTATTTGTGTTAAGCCATTAATTACAAATAAACATGAATCCCTTAATCTTAAAACTTTATTATTTTCACATAGTCTATAACGCATAAATAAATATAGTTAGATATAAATACCTCGATCTATGATTGCAAATATCATAGAGATCAAGTCCAACATCGAGATCCTTTCTACCGAGAACTAATCTGCAACTCTGATCAACAGGCAAAGGTGGAAACTGGTTTCTCTCTCTTGACCTTTTGCACACATAAAACTTTTACGTGTTGTATCATTAATTGTACATAATTGATGGAATATATGCACTTTTATAAAGGCAGAGAGAGGGCCAGTTTTCTTTTAGTAATATAATTCTACTTTCCATCAAAGTAAGGAATAAGAAAGGAAAATACTTCTCCAATAAGTAATTACCAAAAAGGTAATTATAAGTTAACCAAAAATAAATAATATTAATTGATATCTATTTACTTAACCACCAAGTAATATGTCACATGTCCAAATCATGTGGGCCACAATTAAATAAATAATTTTACATTCTCCCACTTGACACATATGATAATTTCTGTAGTGGTTTAATAAAATAGTTATTAATGTGCACCATAAATCAGATTAACTCATTAAATTGGTCATCATAAATACCATGGTTTATAAATTATCAATGCGAGTCATGGCGGTTATATATCCTTAAATGATACAGTCCCTTCCATGTACCACAACACTAGTAATCTATTTAACATAGTCTATAAATGAGAAGTATCAATAATGATCTAACAATAATGTCTTTTCCAAGACTATTCCTATTACCACTTATTAAATCAATACGTACATGTACATTAATTAATAGGAAATATCATAAACACATTTAATCAGCGCAAAATGTCAAATATATATAAGCAATATTTAAGCAATCCACAATTAAAAAATAATCATCATTGACTACATTTAAGACCCATTCTTTCAACATGTTCCATAAATGTCTTGGATGGTAGTCCATTCATTAATGGATTGCAATAATAAGTTGTGTGCTTATAATTACAATAGACATTCGTTGTTTCTAAATATCTTCTTTAATGATAAAGTATTTCAACTTTAGAATATCTATCATTTTTCATACAAGAAGATCAACAATTGCAGCATAAATTTTTAGCAATCTGAAAATGGTACCCATAACTCCAAGTCCTGAAATAAATTCTGCAACCATAAATTAAAACCTCAAAGCATGCTACAAATTAAAATTTTATAATAGACAAAGTAATCATAAATTACTTTGCACTTTTTCATAATATTGTTCCTCCAACCAAATCTTCTAGAACTCTTTTAATATATGCTTTATGAGACAATTCTAAAAACAAATCAATGTGATCGATAATGGAATATTTCTATTCCTATCACATAGGATGCCTCATCTATATATTTCATTTCAAAGTTCTTAGAGATAACTTTTAGTTTCATATAATAAACTAAGATCACTACTAACAAATAAAATATCATTAATATATAGAATCAGAAATATAAACTTACTCCCACTAACCTTTTAGTAAATACACTGATTAAACAGTGTTTTTCTTAAAACCAAAAGAAATAATGGTATCATTAAACTTAATATATCATTGTTAGGAAGCTTGTTTAAATCCATATATTGACATCTTAAGTTTACAGACCATGAATTCTTTACCCTCTAATATGACGCCTTCAGGTTGTTCCCTATGAATTTTCTCTTATAAACTCCTATTCATAAAAGTTGTATTCACATTCATTTAATGTAACTCTAAATCATAATAAGTTACTAATGCCATGATATTTTAAAAGATTCAATCTTAGATACTAGAGAGAAGGTTTCTTTATAATCTCTTCATTCATGACACTAATCCATTTAGTAAAATCATTACTGTTAATGGCTTGTGAATATGTAACCGGATCCGTATATATCTCACTATATATCAAAAACAAATTCTTGCAAATATATCACATAGTCATCCGGAATAGTAGATCTCCTTTCTCTTTGAGATCATCTTAATGTTATTCCTTATGATTCTTCTACAATCTATTCATTGGTGACAATCTCATTATAGAGTTGTTGATCATTCAATTGTTTTTCGTTGTTATACGGTTCAACAACTGAAGGAACAATTATTTCCTTAGAAGTTATGGGTAAAGACATTTATACCCTAACTTCTGGAATGATCAAATTCTTATTTTTATCACTCCTACTGATTTCATCATTCTTAATGAATCTGTCATTACCGGTTTCAATAATTATCGTACTATGTTTAGGATAGTAAAACTTGTACCATTTAGATTACTTAATATCCATAACATTATGGGTAACGAGGAATTACTTAACATACTCCTAACCAATTCCATAAGAGTACTTTTACGCCTTACAGCTACACGCTTCTGCTGTGGCATATATAACAAAGTGTATTAAGCACAAATGTCATATATTTCAAGGAATTTAACAAACAGTTAGAGTATTAACCCGTTTTATCATATTTTCCATAATATTCTCTACCTCTATATGACCTTATGATTTTCACTTTTCTATCTAATTGTTTTTCAACCTCATTTATGTATACTTTAAGAGTTCAAGAGTACCCACTGATTGAGATTTTTCATACAATAAATAGATATATCCATAATGTGAAAAATCAACTATAAAGGCGATAAAATACTTTTCTCCTCCAAAAAATGGAACATCAGAAGGTCTACAAATAATAATTTGAAGAAGTTATGTACTTATTGTGGCTTATTTCTTTGTGCATTTAGTTTGCCTACCCTTAATACAATCTACACACACATCAAAATCAGTAAAGTTTAGATTCAGAAGAATCACATCCTTTACTAATTTTCCTAACCTTTCACTAGATATTGACCTAGTCTTTTATGCCAAAGATAAATTTTCTATTAATTGAGTTACGCTTAATTCTAACATTATGATACAAGATCAAAAGGATTTTTATAAATAAACCATCAAATTTGAATTTACAGAAATCATCAACAATAATACCATAACTCACAAATTATAATTTCTTAAATAAATATCATTACCAAATTTAAATGAAAAAAATTAATATAAAATTTTTGAAATAAAATCAAATTATAGGAAATTGAATAAACATAAAAATTTTAAAATAATTTAAATAAAATCCATTGTCTAACATTAAACATAGTGTCACAATGGTTTCAACAAAACTTTTTCCCAATTATCATAAATAAGAAATTCTTATTTGAATTTGTGGTTTAGGCCATAAAAAATTCTTGCATCTATTAGAAACGTAAATATTAATACTTAAGTCAACCTATCATGTATTAAAAAGAATTTCAATAAGTAATTCGCAATATACAAAAACCAAAAACGTACTTTTCTTTTTCGAATCATTCTTTATATGTCATGTAATCTTTCTAAAAGTGTTAAATACATTAATGACATTTTTTCATTATTACATTCATTTCTTTTAGTAGATTGACCTAAATCTTTTTAATTTTGGGTGTTGCTCATTTAATGCCCTTTCAGGCTTATTCCCAAATTTCTTTCTAACTTCTTGAGTCATGAGATGAACTTAATGATTACTTGCTACTTAAGCCTTGTCTCCTCCTAAATTAATATAATAGTCAATTCATTCACTATCACTTGTCTTAATAATGTTAATTTGAAATGACCCATACTGAATAAACAAGAAACTGAGAATAAATTGAATAAGAAAATTCTCATTCACAATCATCCATAAGGTTCTAAATTTTACAGTAACATTAGTCATCTAAAAATACGATCATACATGGTACGGTACCAACAAAAAATGCATAGTAGTTATATCAATTAATAATTTTAGTTTTAGATATTTATCTACAATACGAAAACATTCTTATAATCGAATATTCTTTAGCACTATCACTATAGGGAACAATTATTCGCATAACCATAATACTTAATCTGTTCGATCTCTCCCAAGCTTTATGGAGAATCTTTTCTTCCTCACTGTTTTTTTCAGTAATAACAGTAGGTTTCTCAATTTAAAATGTTAAATCAAAATTTAACACATCTAAATTTTAAACCCAACTTACTCATTCCATTATAAGAAGTTAGTCCTATCAAGAATCATAACAGA